TCCTAGAGACAAGGGTGTGCTGGAGCCAGCTCAATCTGGCTTAATGTGAACATTTAAACTTTGGGTTTGACTTATTGTTTTATTGATTTTCTAGATTTAAGGAAGTGTTTAGAGTACAGATTAATCTTAAAAATGTGTCCTGCTTACATTTTTTCCCTAGATAGGTGGTTGTGAGGCATTTACCTTCATACCCTGGTACGAGATAAGGTTTAAAAGCCATATGTATTTTTTCCTCAATGACCTTCTACAATCAGATCCCTAGCTATTTTTCCATGACTCACACACATAAATCCTTCGTTTCAACCAAACTAACATATTATATACCTTTTGTTTTCCTGTCTCCATTCTTTTCCTTATGCTGTTTCCTCCACTTAAAACACTATTCCCTCCTGCCTATGGTTACCTACTAAAATACTACTCAACTTAAGGCTCAGCTTGCGTTGCCTTCTCCAGGAAGCCTTCTCTGATCGCTGTAACTTTGAGCATACCCCAAAGCTGTCCTGGGTTCTCTTCCCTTTCTCTCTCTAATAGGTACTCTTCTCTCTCTTTACTAGGCAGCCCAAACTCAACATGTCCAAAACAAAATTCATTATCTTTCCAACAAAATGCACTCCTCCTCTGACCTTTCCTATTTCTATTGAGGACATCGTCATCCTTTCAGTCACCCAGGTTGACAAGCTTAGAGAGAGTCATCCTCAACTCCTCATGCTGCCCCACTCCATATAACCAATCCATTGACAAGGCTTGTCATTTTTACCTCCACAACATCTCTCGTATACATCTTCTTCTCATTACTTATGACAATTCTGGTATATCTTTGTGTACTGTATGCCATCAATCATAACTCTACCCTATCTCTCATGTTTATTCTCTCTTCCTCATTTTCATGCCACTTGTTTCAGGTCCTCATTGCCACACACCTAGATTACTGCAATAATCTCTTAACTGGACTTCTACCACAGTCTATTGTTTCTTCAATCCATTCTTTAGACAGCAGTCAGATTAACTTTTCTGATGCACAGGTCTACTCTGAAGGCATATGGTGACCAATGCTTGATGATGCTTCTGATGTCAGTATCATAATTTAAATGAGTACAAGAGGAATTGGGCATATTTTCCATTTTTTAGAAAATTTTTACTTACCTGCCACGTAACTTTTTAGGGACAGAGTAATTAAGCTCAGATCTTCTAGGCCCAAACTAATTCTATTTCTCCCTTGCCTGTCCGTAATGTTAGAAGCATGGTACTGTTATGTCTTGCTTGAAAAATATCATTGTTCCCTATTGCCTACAAAGTGGAGTCAAACTCCTTAGCTTAGCATTTAGGCTCTCTCTCTTCAGACATATTTCATGCTATTTCCCTACATTTATTCTACCTGGTAGCCAAATTGGATTCTCCTTGCTGTTTCCCAGATGGACCATGAGCTTTCCCACTTCTGTGCTACTGCTCACATTGCCCTTTCCCCCTAACATGCTTACCTCCTATACATCTTTTAAGGACCATCTCAAAGGCTACCTTCTTCAACAAGCCAGAAATAATTTCTCCTTCCTCTGAACTCCTTTAGTATTTCACCTATTGTATTGTCACATTTTTCTTTGTATTATAGCTATGGAAATTAGTCTCATCTCCTCCTGCAAGACTATAAACTCTATCAGAGCAAGAACTATGTCTAATTCATCCTTCATCCTCCGTAGCACTTTGCTTATGGTAAGCAATCAATATGCATTTGTTTAGTTTTTTAAATCATCTTATGATTTTTAAACACAAGTGAAAGATGGGCTATTTAAAAAAAGAAATATCAGATATGGCATAAATTGTGTGACAAAAAAAAATCTCTCTGTAAGGCTAGTGGAAGAAATATATACATACGCAATCAGGAGACATGGAAGACTTTGAAACCAAAAGCATGATCCAATTGGCTGAGAAAGGACCACATTATCAGGCATAGTCAATTGAAGACTGGACAGCTGGTCAATAGCTTTTGGCACCAAAATATATTGACCAGCTGGGAGGTCGTTAACGCTGAACAGTTTTATCCTTATGATCACATCTTGGCCAATTAGATTGTCTTTGGACACCAAAGGGTGTAATATTTTCAGATATAAATGTCACATGTATAGCCATGTTGTGAGTATGATATGTATGCAAATGTGTTATAGAATATACCCTGTCTGGCTGCACTGGCTTCTTCAGTAGGCCCTGTTAGTTTTTCAGTTACAAAGTAAATAGGCTAAAAATATAAACTGATTTATTTAAAAACAAAAGCAAAACACAACTAATGAGCCATTATACTAGGGGAATCTGTCATAATTTATGCCAGTTTAAATCCTGGGGTTCCTACAAAAACTATCCAAAAAATCAAGTGAATTCTTTGAGAAATGAGACAAGGGCAAGATGGAAGTCAGTGATAAAGGCATAGATGAACTTCGGAAGAGAGTTTTCTCTGTTAATGTTGGGATACTTTGTTTTCCTTTTTATGATGATACTGTTATTGTGCATCAAGCCCCAGGACACTACAGGGCCTCCTCGATGAGATACATGAATATTCAAAAGAGGTTGGCTTAATAATTTACAAAGAAAAAGCTGAATGTATGAAAAGCTATCTAATGTGCAGGCTGTGTCTTATAGTAGGATGGCCAGCCAATCCATTGAGTTAGTACATCAATATTAACTGAAATGTATGGATATATTTCTATATATCTGGGACAAACAGAAAAGGTGGAGAATTACATAGAAGGAAGAGAAAATGATGGTTTGGATTTGGGAAATTGTAAAGGGCTTTCCACAAACACAAGCTGCTCCCTGGGACAAAAAGCCATTTTTCACTGTAGCTTCTAGAAAACCACATTTTGCAAAGATTTTAAATTGAGGGTGCCTTAAGAAACAATGGAGAGACACATGGTATGTAGAAGCAGATCACAACAAATTTGTGGCGATGCTCTGCACAGTGGTTATGTAATGAATATCATGGAGGAACTACCTAAAGGAAAAGGAATTAAGCTAGTCAGGTACTACCCTGGTATTCACAAAACATAAAAAGACCTAGAGAAATGTCTCTGCTGCACAATCCTGTAGGGAAGGTGAATGGGAGAACATGGACAAAAATTTGCACAGCATGAGAAGGCATGGCTGCATTGTGATCTGCACCAATGAAAGGGATACCCACATTGAAGGTATCAGAGATCCATTAAGGTATAAATGAAAACAAATCATTCACAAACTCAAAGACAAGTCATCACTCTGGGAATGGCTGCTGTACAATAGGTATATATTATATAAAACAAAAAACTTTGCACAGAGAATACATATTGCTGTCAAGATCACAAAAAGCAGACTGAGAGAGATAAGAGCAAAAAGATGAACGAATGGGAAGTTATAAGCAAAAAACTTTGTACAGGGTGATAGCACTAAGCACATACATGTGGGCTATTTTACAAATGGCACAGAAAAGCAGCATGGTTTACTGGAAAATCCCTCAGTTTGGAACTTAAGTGCTGGTCTATGTGCCAGGGCCAGTAAACTTGGGACACTGGAAAGATTACTTCCTGGACAGGGAATCAGGATAAATTGGTTCAAATTCTACCCTGACTATACCTGTGTGATCTTGGGCAGGTCATTTCCTTGGTCTCAGTTTGATCATCTATAAAGATGTGATGATTGCATTAAACGATTTTGAGGTGTCTTCTAGCTCTAACATTTTAGATAATGATAAAATGAGAAGTTTAAAAACTTGTAACAAATTTTTTTTCCAGATTCCAATACTGGCCATTTCCCCCCAATTTCATTGAGTTTATATGATTTATAATTGCATCACTTCATAACTGATATACACATATTGCATTTTCTACATTAGAAGAAAATCTTCATCTAAACCTAGATATGCCATCTGCTAACTAAATCAAAAACTTGCTGTTGTTCAGGCCTACCTGATTCTTCGTAACCCCATGGATTAATAACACGGCAATACGACTGTCCATGGGGTTTTCTTGGCAAAGATATCGTAGTGATTTTCCACTTCCTTCTCCAGTAGATTAAAGGCAAACAGAGGTTAAATGACTTGCCCAGGGTCACACAGCTAACAAGTGTCTGAGACTGGATTTGAACTCAGGTCTTCCTAACTCTGGACCCAGCAGCTCTATCCACTAAGCCACTTAGCTACCTCTAAAAACTTACTTTCATTTAATCTTTATTTGCCCACAGGCATGTAGTTGATACTGGTGGTGAATCCCCTTTCACCTACAAACTCTGAAGAATTATTTCAACATTTAATTAAATTCAAGATGAATTTATTAAATGCATACTGTATGATAGGCAATGTTCTAGTCACTAGAGACATAAAGTTAAAGGCAAACTAGACCTAGCTCTCCAAGAGCTTATAATCTACTAGCGGGAACACTGTGCAAACCTAGGGTTCTCAACATTCTTTTGTCACAGACCCTTTTGGCAGTCTGGTAAATCCTATTGACTTCTTCTCAGGATCATGCTTTTAAATGCATAGTTAAAACATCTAGGATTACAAAGGAAGACAAAAGTTAGTGAAAACAAAAATGTATTTTTTCCCAAGTTCACATCTCCCCTGAAATCTATGGTCTGAAGACCCCAGATTCTGTGATGTAAACAGAGACAAAAATACAAATATATGCAAAAAAGTAACTTTTGGTACACAAGCAACAATGTGTGGGCTGCAAGTCACAAAAGATCATGTTAGTTGAGATATGAAGCCCATGAAGTCAATCTGAGTCTTCTCGAAGAAGAGAGACAACTTAACATGGGAAGAAGGACCCCAAGCTAGAGACCAGACAAATTGTCCTCATATCCATGGAAATATTCAGTCAACTGACAAAGGCCGAATACAATTGGGCTTCTCCCCATTGTCACAGGTGGTTGGCTATTAAAGGCCAATTTGTTTACCTTTGTTTCATTTTTGGCTTCTGGGAGAGGAGAACATTGGCCCCAAATTCACAAAATCGTGCTTGAACAGATTAATTCTGGCTATATTTTCATGCATGAGAGTCAGAATGAAGATGCTCCTCGTCTTGACCTTGCTTGACTTTACACTGACATTCCTCCACAATCATCACCACCTTGGCCACAGGGTTGGGTCCAGTGCACTTCAACAGTAATTCTTTTGTTGTGAACTTGGTAGGTGAACAGTGGGAACAGAAGGCATGGTGATGAGCTGTAGCCTCAGAAGGACGAAGGGACCGACATTTCCCAAAGCATAAGTTGTTTTGAATGACTACATTTTCACAGTCGTCATGTACGATTGTCTAAAAAGGCAAATGGGTTTCAATTACTGATTAACCAGTCATTTTAACATAGATCTGATAGCTAGCAATAGCTTCACTCTGGTTAAAAAACACCCTCTGATGTAAGACAGAGAAATAAAGACCCAAATCTCAAAAGCCTTTCCCATCAACTTTCGAATAGACTTATACTTTAGAACTAGCTCAAAACAGCTTTCTCCGTTGAATAAATCATTTTGTAAAAATTAGCCTTTGGAAAGAGCTAATACTAAAAGAAATGTTGTACTTTACCTTTTAACACACGCAGAAATACTGAATGTGTTAGACTTTTTATTTGGGAGGTACCAATCAACATTATTCTATTATCTATTTTATAACACATAATTTTAAAGCTTAAAACATAACAAGCTTCATTCTCCTCTATTTTGAAGAGCTTGTAAATTCACCATGTGGCAGAGATGTTGTAAATACATGGAAATTCCCACTGAGATTATAATATTTTGCCCCCACGTGATCCTGTCTACCTGGCCTCATGTGTCCTTCAAAATATGGAAATATTGAATTTTTTCATTTTAATTTAATTAGCAATAGATTCAAAATAAGAGTTGAGAAGGGAATCTGACTGCCTGCTTCTTATGAGCAATTTTTCTAATTGCCCACAGGCTACAAAGCGGTCATTATTATTTCATAATTGACTTGTCATTGTTACATACCCTTGCCTTCTCAGGCAGAATGCCTTCTACAGTCAATTACCTTGTAATACTGTCTGCTTTAATTGGCTACCATTACTAGACTATAAAATTTTAAGGGACATGGTGTTGCTTTCAGTTCAGCATCCCTACCTTTGAGAACTTGCTTCCCAACCTGTCACATCTGTAACTCAGACTTCTCATTTTTTATTTAATATTCGGAATGTAGGAACACCCAGATTGGAAAAAGAGGATCATAGAATGTGATTTTATCTTCATAATGTCGACTAGTAATGATAACCATGAATTAGCTCACATAACAGCAATTAGGAGCGCTGTTTGGAGGTATGTTTCTCTGCTGTCTTATACGAATAGAAGCCCTCTCTCCTTCCTTCTCAACACAAAAGGAAGAGTGAAGCCTATTTCCAATAATGTTAATTGTTAGTATTTTCAGTATCATCTCTTCTACTTTTTTACCATTAGCTATGTATCAAGATAACACTAGAAAGTCTCTGAGGAAATTGATAAAGGACTAATAATAGTAAAAACAGTAATGGCTTACATTTACATAGAGTTTTATAGTTACAAAAGCATTTCCCATTGTGTAAACGAAGTCATTATTTTAAAAGAGACCTTGATTTATGACTGAAGACCAAAACTAAGAGCTCAGAGAGTCAAATCCATTTCCAGTAATGTTAATTATTAGTATTTTTGGCATCGTAATCATTCCTACTGTTGTACCATTAGCCCCTCATCAAGATAAAGCTAGAAAGTATCGGAGGAAATTGATGAAGGAATAACAACAATAACAATAACACATAGTAGTAGTATTAATAGCTTTCTTTTATATAGAGTTTTATAGTTGTAAAGCGCTTCCCATACATTATATCAGCAAAGTCACTGCTTTAATAGAGACTTTGGTTTATGACTGAACCCTGAAACTGTGAGCTCAGAGAGAAGGGTATGTGGACCAGGCAAATTCAATCCTGATCTTCTATTTCATTCTAGTACTTACCTGGGAGAAGGGTACCGTCCTGCAGGTCTCCTGGTACACTTCATTGCTTTTGATGGGCAGGATGACCTCCTGTGAAGCTGAGCTCTTTCTGAACAAGAAGAAGTGCCAGAATTTTTGTGCTTCTTCCTGGAGATGGGGTTTCTCGATTTCCTTGCCATCAGGTTCAGCATTTGCTGGAGTCCTAGGTCTGAAGGCCTCTCTAGCAGGATCCCTTATGTCCAGATGCCTCTCTGGCTTCTGTTTTTCAGAGGTATACATGAACCTGAATAACATGTCTTTCTGCTCTTTGGGAGTTTCTGTCAGCTCAGGGTCTATCAGGTGGGGTATGGCTACAAACAAATCTGGCTTTTCTTGGGACTCCTCAAAAACGTCTGTCGATAGTGCTCCGAAGCCCTGATCATCTGCAGCATGAGAGGGATGCTGGATCTTCTTGTCTATGCCGGTCAGCATTTGTTGCCTGGACTCTCCCAGACCTGAGATCACCAGCAGCTGAAGCAGCAGGAGATACATGCTTTTTTCTTCAAGTTATTTTCTAGTTTCTAAGATGGTAGGGGGAAAGGAAAGACGAGGACAATTCAGTGGATTTTGCCTAGAAAGAGGAAGTGGCTATATATAAGACTTCCTTGGTGGTGGTGGGAAAGCAGATGGCCTAGAGTCTGGCAAAATAAACAGATCTCTTGTTGACTTCAATTATGAAGTGCTAATGGCTTCCTGCTTTTTTTCTTGTGTTTTGTGTATTTTCGAAGACCCTAGTGAAAGCCTATTACCTAGGGGGTAATTAGCTAAAGTTTAGATGCATTGTTTAGCTATTGTCTAGGAGCTAAGAGAAGTTCTAAAATGTGTATTGGTTCAATCAACTAATTGTTGGGCTTTATTTCCCGTACTCTAAACCAAGAAGTGTTATCAACAGCTGGTTGGTTATGCATTGTACTGTTTGGAGAACTACTTCAAGAATCAATTATCTTTTTCTCAGGAAATATACTTTGCAGCGTGGGCTTTTTGAATCTCTTGTGTCATTACAAAATGTATCAATACATTTTTAAAAACAATTGGGGGAGAGAGAATTAGTATTTTTAATCATTAAAATATCTAAGACAAATCTGAATACATTACTGTGATATTGTGGAAAGAATATTTTACTAACTTGTCTCTTCTCCCTGTACTCTCCTTGGCAAACTGTATCACTTCCCATGGGTTTAACTATCATCTCTCTGCATATAATTCCCAGATCTCTAGATCTAGCCCCATTCTCTTCCCTGAGCTTTATTTTCCTGATAGATATTTCGAACTGGATGTCCCAAAGATAACTTAAATCCAACCTGTCCAAAAGTGAACCCATCATCTTTTCCCTTAACCCTGCCCTCCTCTAAACTTCCCTATTTCTGTCACACCATTTTTAGAGTCTCCCAGTTTTGTAACCTAAGCATTATCCTTGACTCCTCACTCTTCCTTGCCTTACATATCCAATCAGTTGCCCAAGTTTTACATCTCTCCACTTGAAAAGCTATCACCTTAGGCTAGTCCCTTATTACCTCTTTCCTGGATTATTGAAACAGACTCCTAATTGGTCTCCCAGTCTCAAGTCTTTCCCCAATATAGTATATTCTACATACGTTCAACAAAGTAACTTTCTTTGAGAGCAGATTGACCACCTGATTCTCCTACTCAACCAATTCTGGGGCTTCTTATTGCCTCTAGGATAAAAAAATAAACTCTTCATTTAACATACTTTTATTTAACAGACACACATCCATATGCATACATATATGTGGTTATATATATGGAGACAGACAGACAGAGAGACAGGGAGAGAGAGAGAGAGAGAGAGAGAGAGGAGAGAGAGAGAGAGAGAGAGAGAGAGAGAGAGAGACGGAGGAGAGAGAGAAAGACAGAGACAGAGAGACAGAAACAGAACTAGATGGCAGTGAATAGAATGCTGCCTGGATTCAGGAAGACCTGAGTGCAAATGTGACTTCAGACACTTACTGGTGTGTGACCTTGGGCAAGTCAACTTGTTTGCCTAGGAAGCAGCTAGGTGGCTCCGTGAATAGAGCACTGGGCCTAGAGACGGGAAGACCTGAGTTTAATTACAGACACTTACTAGCTTACTAACTGTGTGACTCTGGGCAAGTCACTTAACCTCTGTTTGCCTAAATCCACTGGAGGAGGAAATAGAAAACCACTCCAGTCTCATTGCCAAGAAAACCCCACGAACAGTATGGCCCATGGGGTCACAACTGAACAACACCACCAAACCATTTGTGTTCTTTCATAATCTGGCTCCAATTTGCCTTTCTAGATTTGCTTTCTATTACTTCCCTTCATATTCTACATTCCACCCAAACTGTTCCTTAATTTCCTCTCATTCTGTTCCACCTCTGCACATTCTCCATGCCTCTCCTATCTCTGCCTGTCAAAATCCTTCTCTTGTTTCAAGGCCCTGGCTCCAGTTCCAACTCTTCAGTGAAAGCTTCTCTCCTTGCTCAACTAACTCTCTTCTATCTAACAATTTATTCAGCAAACCCCCTTTAAGCATCTGCTTTATGCAAAGTATAGGGCTAGGCATTATGCTTACAAAGATAAGAACAAAAAGCATTCTCTAAGGTCCTTAGAGGTAAGAAACAGCTAAGAAAACACACAAGGATTTGAAAAAGAAGAGATCACGAATAATTCAGGAGATCAAGAAAAGTCTCCTTTAAGGCAGGAAGGACTTTGAATTTAAATTTGGGTTTGGTTGGGGTATTTTTGTTTGTTTGTTTTTGTTTTTGTTTTTGTTTGCTTTATTTATTTATTTTGGTGAGGCAATCAGGGTTAAGTGACTTGCTCGGGGTCACACAGTGAATTTACATTTGTTTAAAAAATATTGTGATAACTGTATTTCAGTATAATTGGTTTCCTTGTCTATTTAATTTTATGTATTTAAAATCATTTTCCAAAGAAGTGATCCACAGGCTTTACCAAACTTCCAAAAGGGGCTTTGATCTTAAAAAATAATTTTAGGAGTTTTGTTGTTGTTGTTGTTGTTTTTAAAAAAAAAAGGTTAAGAACCAGGGCCTTAAGGAGTGGTATCTGAGCTAAGCTTTGAAGGATGCTAAGGATTTTAAGACAGAGAGGTGAGAAGAGCATGAACTCCAGGCACGCATGATAGCCTGTACTAAGAAACCGATCTGTGAAACGGAATACTGTGCTCAAGGAAGAGCAAACAGTGTAATTTGTTCACAGTGTAGAGTACTTGAAAGAGAGTAGTCTGAAATTAGCCAGGGAAGGTTGGCTGGAACTACATCTTAAAGTGTTTTTATTTTATGCTAGAGGCAATGAAGGACTGCTGAATAATTCTTACATAGAAAATGGCATGGCCTATCTGGAACTTCAGGAAGATTGTTTTATTTTATAAATTTATTTGTTTCTTCTTAGTTTTCAGCATTCATTTTGATAAGATTTTGAGTTCCAAATTTTTTTTCTCTCCCCTCCCCAAGATGGCAAGCAATCTGATATCTGATATAGGCTATATATGTACTATCATATTATATATGTATATATATATATATATATATATATTTCCACATTAGTCATGTTGTGAAAGAAGAATCAGAACAAAATGAGGAAACTACAAGAAAGAAAAAACAAAAAAAGTAGAAAAAGTATGCTTTGATATGCATCTAGGCTCCATCATTCTTTCTCTAGATGTAGATAGCATTTTCCATCATGAGGCCTTTGGAATTGTCTTAGATCATTGTGTTGCTGTGAAGAGCTAAGTCTGTCAAAGCTGATCATCATACAACATTCCTGTTATTGTGTACAGTGTTCTTCTGGTTCTGCTCACTTCACTCAGCATCAGTTGATGTAAGTCTTCAGGAAGGTTATTTTTAACAGGTATGTGTGGGATGCATTGGAGATGAGAGAGATTGGAAGAAAAAGGCCTTTGGAATAGTCTAGGTGAGAGATGATGAGGGCCTGTAGGCTGGTGACTCTATGAATAGAACAAAGGAGGTGCATTCAAGAGATATTGTGAAGGTAGAATCAATAAAATTTGACTAGTAATTGGATATGGGAGGCAAAGAGAAAGGAAGAACTAAGGATGACTTGAAGTTTACAAATCTGGGAGGATGGTAATACTCTCGACAGAAACGAGGAGTATGGAGGAAGGGAAAGTTTGTGGGAGGGAAGAATATTGGGTTCATTTTGGGACTTGTTGAGCTTGAGATGTCTATGAGATATCCAGGTAGAGTTGTTCAGCAGGAGTTTTTAGTGCAAGACTATAGTTTGGGAGAAACATGAGGGCTGGTTGTATGAGTCTGGGAGTTAGCAGTAAAGCTATAGGGGCTGAAGAGATAGGTAAAAGGACAAATAATAGAGAGAAAAGAGAAACCCCAGGGCAGAGATTTGGGGGATGTGGTCAGGATTAGAGGATTGGAGATAGAAGAAATTCCAGCAAAAGAGACAGTGAAGCAGGTGTTAGACCAAAAGAAGAATCAGAAAAGGGCATTGTTATGGAAACTAAGGAAGGATGTTTTCATTGCCAAAAGCTGCTGAGAACTTAAAGCAGATAAAGACTGGGGGAAAAGCCATCACATTTAGCAGCAGAGATTAGCAGTAATCTTGGAAAAAACAGCTTTAGGGGAATGGTCAGATTGGAAACCAGACTGCAGGTAACCCCAAAGTAGAATCCCTTCAACTCCACCATTGACAGAGTTATACATTAAAATGTAAGCCACAGATTGGTTCTTTTGCTCCTCCCTTCTATCACCATTGTAAAAAGCCACATAATAAAGCATTTCTTTCTTTGTCATGATAATTCAGCATGTACTTGGGCTGTGGGGATTTTTTTTCCTAGGTACCTTCTCAGAAGGTTATGCAATAAAAATGAGGGCTAACATACGTTCCCTCATTCTGAAAGATATCATAGCTTCTTGTGTATTTGTCATTTCCCCCACAGATCATAAATCCCTTGAGAGCATGGCCTTTGTCATTTATGTGCACCACTGAGCACAATCCATTGTATACTGTGAGTGCATAATAAATGTTTTTTTTTTCTTCTTGGCTCTCAAACATACTTTATGTATTATTATGTACTGTGGTTGTATGAATGTGTGTTATATCCCTTGTAAGCTTCATGGTGATCATAGGGGCATATATTTCTATCTGGAAGGAACTTTAGAATTATCTAATCCAACCCCCTTATTTGACAGGTGAGGAAACTGAGGCCCCAAAATATTAAGTAACTCTCCCAAGGTCACACAGGTAACAAATAGCAGGGCTGATATTTGAACTCAGATTCTCTGATTCCCAATGGTTCCCTTTCAGAGAGCTGCCTAGGGACTGAGCAGTTAAGTGATACAACCAGTTATGTGTCAGCAACATGACTTGAAACCAAATTTTCTGACTCTGAAACCAGCTCACTATGGCATGCCGCCTCTCAGAGTTTTACGTAAATTTCATGCCTCCCCGAAAGCCTAGTATAGTGCTCTCTACCTGGCAGCATTCAATAATTATTTGTCAAATTGAATTTT